GCGTGCAGCACCTGGTCTTTTCCGGGCTGTGGGAAAGACATGACGCAACACTGCCCGCATGTTTCTTGAGCATAAAAACATAAAAAACAACCCCCTAAAACCAGCCAGGTGTATTTTATGATTCCACAGGGCATCAATCGCATAAAGCTCAAAGGGGACCCAGAGTCACGTGCTATGGTCTTAGACAGGCCTCAGAGCCAAAGACCAGCCCTTGCTCCTGTTTTACTTAACCAGGTTTTGTAGGTCTTGGATTTCTTCTGTTCTCATCCCTCCCCATCTCTTCCTTGTAGCAGCAGACAAGAGCCGAGAGGTGGAAAATCAAGTTGTTGTTTAAGCAGCTGCACCAGTTCCAGGATGAGCAGGAACGTCTGCTCCTGATGTGGGTGGAGGACGTGGAGAAGCAGATAGTGCAGACCCAGACAGAGAATGACAGGAAGATCTGCACAGAGATCTCCCACCTGGGCAACCTCATCCAGGAGCTGGAAGGGATGAGCCCACAGCCGGAAAATAAATCCCTGCAGGTGAGAGCGAGGAGCTGGGAAATGGAGTTTGCAATGCTCTAAATGTGCCCTTGAGGTGGTGGTCTCTTCCCCCTCTCCCCAGTCTCTTTGCCTTGACATTTTGAGCGGTTTATTTAGATGCTCGTTTCATGAAGAAGCCATATCATACATTGTATATCAACATCGATGAACTATGCTATGTCATATCCAACCCCTGAAGAGGAGGACCCCAGAATTAGTATTTCATCATCTTGGAAGTGTCCGCCAACTGTTGCCCTCCCAATCCCAGGCAAAGTGAGGGAGATCGATGCACATCTTACACGACTATCACAAGCGCTAGTAAATGAATCCTGGCTTAAGTCCAGGGTGAGGCTACCCAGCATATGACCACACTTTCCCTCCCCAAGAGACCACGTCAGGCAGGATACAGGCAGAAGCAGTCTTTGGAAGTGGATAATATATTCCACCAGCTGCATTTGAGCATTTCTTCTAGCCAGGGACTAGATTGAAGAGACCAAATGGGACACTGGATGAGTACAAGAGGTCCCTGATCTTTCTTGTTGCTGGCACAAGAAAATCTAAACCAAACAAAGCGTGCTTGCAAACAACAGCTGAGGGAGATAAGAGAGATAAACAGGCCTGAAGATCGCTCAATGTTTAATTCCCATCTTCTTTCTCCTTTAGGATGCCAGGAGTGCCTTGACCAGGTACGTGGCTCTCCCTTTCCGCAGGGGACGGTTGTCCCCATCACAGTGTCACAAAGCGGACGGGAATGGGGGAGCAGAAGGGGTTGTCCTCTCTACCAGTGTCCCCAGCACTCAGGGTGAGGAAGAAGCTAGGGAGAAAATGGCCCTGGGGTGAGATCATGTCCCACCACCTTCTCCATTCAGCTGGAGGAAGCCAATATCTACCATCAAGGAGGTTCAGAGCAAGTCTGTGTCCTCCACAGGGACATTGGGACCACTGATATGCCCAGCAATGTCTCAACTTACTCAACCTGATGCTTGGGGAGAAACAAGCTCACCCAGCAGCTTTTCTAAGTAGGGTTTCTATGTAGCTCGTTCAGCAAGGAAGGAATACAAAAGTCTTCTCCTTCCAGGTGTGAAGCAAGGAATTTCCAGCAACTGACAGAGAAGCTTCCCAGAGTGGAAAAAAGACTCAAGGATTTATCTCAGAAAAACATCGTTCTGAAGGAAGCCCTGAGGAAATTCAAAGGTACAAAGGAAGGGGAAAATCTAAACACACTTCTGCAGCTGGAGAGCAGTGGACACTAGCCAATTACCAGCGTAAAGCCCCAGTAAAGGAATGCTAACGATGAGTTACTCAATAACCCTCCTATCTGGGGCTGGAGCTGGAAGAGGGAGGGTAACTGTTCCCAGGCATATTTACACACGTGTCTGAATGCCTGAGTAATGTGAAGGACTAGAGCGAGTCCCTCCCTTTAGCTACATGAAGGAAATGAATCAAATTCTTGATTCCAGTCCTATTTAAACCAAACAGACTGTAGGTAATGTCTAGTGAGGGAGTCAACATGCAAAGTCAACGCAATGCAAATGGATGGTTGTGTATACATAGATAAGCCCTGAAAGAGCTATTTTGAGATCATTCTCCATGTCCAGATAACTGTCCCATTGCCGCCTCTGATCTCCGATTAGTAATTGGTGCAGTCAACTCTGAATTAAAGAAATATCCTCATAAAGCGGGTCATATAAAGGTCCATCTGTCCATGAGCTGAATTTGTTCACCTGCTGATTTTGCTTGTTTTACAAAGGGAAAAGCTCACCCTCTCATATTTACCCATGTCTAATACACTCCCTCTCCCCCATAAACAAACTAACAACTCTTCTCCTCTCTCCTTCCAGAGAGTCTCCCACCTGAACTGGATGTGCAATGGGGTAAGTCTCAGGAGACTGGAGGTATACTGGGGTGAAAAAGGGGACTCAAAAGAGAAAAAGACAGCAAAACCAGGGAATTCACACTTTCCTGGTGGGTGACAAGATGAATTCCTATTCCCATTCAATCGCAATTAAAAATAGTACAAATCATTAGAGCCTTTAAATAGACCTGTATGGCATAATTTATGAAGAAAGCCTTTGGTCGGGCCAAGATTTCATTCCTGGAAAAAAACCCAGGAGGGTGCAGATGGAGAGGAATATCAGTCACCTTCCCTCTGACACGCTGTTTTTCTTCTCTCCTGCTTTCCTTCCCATCAGCAAACGTGACTCTGGATCCAGACACAGCAAATCCCCACCTCATCCTCTCTGAGGACCGGAGGAGCGTGAGATGGGATGAAACGCCACAGAATTTGCCCAACAGTCCCCAGAGATTTGATACCTACTGCTCCGTGTTGGGTTGCGAAGGCTTCACAGTGGGGAGGCACTACTGGGAAGTGCAGCTGGGGAGCAGGGGATTTTGGGCTGTGGGAGTGGCGAGAGACTCGGCGTGGAGAAAGGGTTGGATTAACCTTGACCCTTCCCAGGGGATTTGGGCTGTTGGCATCTGTGGGGACAGGTTTCAAGCTTTCACCTCCTTCGAAACAGTCCAGACTCTGAACGGGAGGCCAAGGACTATCCGGGTCTCTCTGGATTACGAGAAGGGACACGTGGCTTTCTTCGATGCTGATAACGAAACCTTGGCTTTTGCTTTTCCTCCGACTTCTTTCAATGGAGAGAAAATCCTGCCTTTCTTCTGGGTTTGGGAGTCCAGGATCCAACTGACTCCCTGAGACAGGATGGGCAGCAAGATGGACGTTTTATGCTCTCGACAAGCCTTTGGTTTGATCCAGGAAACCACACTATATTTCAGGACTCTACAGACAGTAAAGAATAAAGTGGAGCAAATGAGTCCCGGTGTCCGCTTTGAATCTCATTCTCATGGGGTTTTTCAAGAGCAGCAGATTGAGAAGGGATCATCTTGGGCAGACCTCTGGATTTTTTTTTAACATTTGGGTACTCTCCCGGATATTGCTAGGGAAAATCACCCTGGGACAAGCAGGAAAATGAAGCGTGCAATTTGTGCAAGAGCCCCTGGCACACCAATTTCACTGCTTGAATCCCTCCTACTCCTCTCCCATCCTTTCCAATTTTTCCTTACCTTGACATTCAATAATGTTAACTGTTGACATTTCTGTGCCTTAAAATATATCTTGGCCTTTTAATCATTAAAGGACTGTTCCTGGATATCTGCAAACTTGCGACGATGAGGAATTAAAAGTAAACATGTGATTCAAAGTAATTTCTGCCTTGTGTGTTTTTTGGTAGGTTTTTTTTTTTTTTTGGTTGGTTGTGTTTTTTGGTTTGTTTGTTTTTTCCCTGTGGGTTTTCTTTGAGAGGTGCTTAAAATAACTGGAGGAAGGAAAAATCATCCTCGATCCTCTCTAAACCCCACTGCACAGGGAGATGATAAACCTGAGTTTTCTGCGCTGTCAAACACAGCAAATCTGTGGAAATAGAGGTGGTGAGAAGTTAGCAGCGATCCAGGAGTTGGAGTAATTTGCAGCTCGGTTAGATCCCGACTCAATGTGTCAGGGTGTGGGTGTCAGAATTGGGAATGAACTCATAGAGATGGGAATGCTCCTTTTGGTGTTGGCTCCACGTGATCCCTGACTTTAGTCAAGCAAGAGACTGGAAGCAGGGATTCAGATGAAGGTCCATCAAGTCCTTGTCCTGTCCCCAAATGTAGATGCCTAGGAAAGCAGATAAAAACAAGGCAAGGATGACTATGGCCCCAGGAGCTCCGTTTAAGCAGTCTAAATGGATAATTAAAGAATTAAAAGGTTATAATGAGAGACATGGAGAGATTTTATGTTTGACTCTGTCTTCTCTCTAACCCTGCCGGGCAGTTGCAGACAGTGATTTGATCCTTCTCCTTTCCAGGCTGGATAAACCCAATCTCGCCCCATCCATCCTGGGCTTCAGTTTGGTGGCCTGACATTGTCTGCCTTGTACTGGGAAGCTCCAAACTGGTCCCCATATGCAGATACAGCCTCACATGTGCTGATGGCGGGGAGAAGCCCCTCCACTCTCCACTCTTGTTAATGCAGCCCTGTATGGGATTGATATCTTTGGTGCATGGTTCCACCCCTGACTCAAGGACAACTTGTCACCCCAAAAGTCCTGTTCCATGGCTGCTGCTGGTGCAAAGAGGGTATTCTCACTCCAAATTTCATGAGATTTCTCCCCAGTCACTTCTCCAGCCTGTCCTGATTCTGCTGAAGAGCAGCCCTGCCCTCCAGCCTCCTATCTACTAACTCACATCTGGCTCAGAAAAATCAGCTGAACCGAAACCGGTGGGAGGCTGGCAGGAGGCGAGGAGGAAGCATCGTGCATGCTTGCCTTTTTCTCACTCCTCTTCGAGCCTCCCATGCCTCCATTTCGTGGCGTTAGGACTGGGGGTTGATTTCCCCCGTTTGCAAGAAGAAATCGGCCGAGCCAGAAGAAGGAACATCCTCTTCTTCTTCCTGCAAAGCAAAGCTCACTTGGAGGTAGGTTGTGAAGAGCCATGGCTGTGCAGAGCCCAACGGAAAGCCTGCATAGCGAAGCCTCCTGCTCCATCTGCCTGGGTTATTTCCAAGACCCCGTCTCCATCCACTGTGGCCACAACTTCTGCCGGGCGTGCATCACCCGCTGCTGGGAAGGGCAGGAGGCACATTTCTCCTGCCCACAGTGCAGGCAGACGGCTTTGCAGAAGAGTTTCCGTCCTAGCAGAGAGCTGGCAAATATTGCCGAAATTGCCAGGCAGCTGAGCCCGCGGGCAGGAGGAGGAGGAGCGGCAGGATGGGAGAATTTGTGCGGGCAACACCAGGAAGCTCTGAAGCTCTTCTGCAAGGTGGACCAGCAACCCATCTGCGTGGTGTGTGACAGGTCCCAGGCTCACTATTTCCACACTGTAGTCCCTGTTGAGGAAGCTGCCCAGGAATATAAGGTAAAGCCTGGGGATGTGCTTGCACCTCCCCACCTCACAGAAAATCCCTTTCCAGGGGTGACGTGCAGCTGTTCAGGTGCATCCACTCTCCATGGTGCAGCTGCAAACGGGGATCTTTGGGTGCCGCTTACCCACGTGCTTCCTGTTTGCATTTTGCTGCATGGACATTTGGGGTGGTTTTTTTACAATGTTTCTATCAGGGTTTTTCCCTCTCCCTCTTGAATTTATTCACCTTTGCCAACAGCCTGGGAGAATAAAAAGAATACCTTGTTAGCCTTTTTCCTCTTTGAACTCCGATATTGACTCAACTGTACTGAAATACTGACAATGATAAATAATCAAAACGTGTAAAAATGCTAAAGAACTTTTTTTCCCATGGTTACATCAGCCATTGAGGGAAATTTTGCATATTTGTTCCTCTATTCACTGTTCCTTTGGTTTCGAATGCAGAGAAATAACTTTTTCCTGTCTCTTCCCCTTCTCTGCTCCTTTTCTGTTTTCCTG